ATAAAAACTCTGCTGCCAAGCCTGACAACCTTGTTTTGATGCCCAGGACTCATGTAGTCAAAAGAAGGAACTGACTCTACTGGAAAGATGTGTTACACACACACACACACACACACACACACACACACACACACACTCTGAATGCATTAAAATAATTTGGGAACTAGAAAGATAGTTTAGACATTTAGAGCACTGACTGCTCTTTTACAGGACTTGAATTTGATTCCTGGAATTCACATAGCAGTGCACAACCATCTGTAACTCTAGTTCAAGGTGGTCTGATGCCCTCTTCTGACCTCTGTGGGCACCAGGCAGAATGAATTAATAAAATTAAAAAGTAATAGTAATAAAAAATAAAGCCAGGAGCTGGGTGAGAAGGTGCAACCTTTAATTCTGATACTTAGAAGAGAAAAACAGAAGGATTTCTGTGAGTCCAAGGACAGCCTGGTCTACACAGTGAGTTCTAGGATAGCCAGAGAGCTAACAGTGAGACTCTGTCTCAAGAAATAGATAAATAAAACAAAAACAGACATAATTAAACCATTCTGTAGCTCAGTGGTAAAGCACTTATCTAATCCTGGGTTTAAACAAAACAAAATAAAAAAAAAACCTAGAGATGTAGCACAGTGATGGTACTGGTTAGTCTGTACAAGACTCAGGTTCAATCCCTACTATCACATAAAATAAGTAAAAAGAAATAATCTCTAAACCCTAGGGCCATCAAGAGCCACTGTAGTTGTAGAACAGCCATTAGCTCCCACAAACAGCCCTGCATTGTTATATGCCATACAAACAGCAGTTTATCAAGTCACTTTTTAAAAGTATCAAACAGAAACAATAGCAACTATGATATAATTTCTAATCTATAATCTGCTATTCTTAGAACTGTGACAATTTAGCCAGGTGTGGGATACACACCTGTAATTCTAACACTCAAAAGACTGTCTTAAGTCAAGGCTAGCCTGAGCTACAGAAAGAGTACCAGTCATGCCCGGGCTCCAGAGTGGCCTCTCAAAATAAATAAATAAACAAACAAACAAACAAACAAACAAACCAAAACAAGGACTGGAGAGATGACTCAGCAGTTAACAACACTGGCTACTCTTCCAGAGGACCCAGATTCAATTACCAACACCTACATGAAAGCTCACTTTGTCTGTAACTCCAGTTCCAAGGGATCTGACACCTTCACACAGACATACATACAGGCAAAACACCAATGTACATAAAATAATAAATAAATCATTTAAAATGTTAAAACAAACAAACAAACAAACAAGAACTTGATTGATAACCAGGTAGTAGTGGCAGCTGCCTTTAATCCCAGCATTCAGGAGACAGAGGCAGGAGGATCTCTGAGTTCAAGGTCAGCCTGGTCTACAGAGCAAGTTGTGCTAACAGCTAGGGCTATACCTGTCTCAAAAAATCAAAGAACCCAATTCATTTACTATGTACCTAATCTACATTACGTACTCAATATTAGAGCCCCAGCCCTCAAAATCAGTGGTCTAAAATAGTGGTTCTTGACCTGAACATTAGGCAGATATCTAGAGACATCGTAGTCTGCACAACCGAGAGTGCTACCAACACCCATGAGCAGGACTCATTCAGGTCAAAATACCAATAGTACCCAGTCAGAAGCTCTCCAATCACAACTCACAAGATTACATGCCTATATGGGCTGGCTTTCTGAAGCCCATTTCATATGGTGGGCTGCATTGTTCAGCCTTGATGCAGGGCAGGGAGGCTTGGTCCTGCCTCAACTGAAAATGTGCCAGGCTTTGCTGACTCCCATGGGGAGGCCTTACCCTTTCTGAGGTTTGGATGAGGGTGGGTGGGAAGAGGAGAAAAAAGGGAGAGGGGGGAGTGAGGGGAAACTGTTGTTGGTATGTAAAAGGAATTAAATTTTTTTTTAAAAAAAAAAAACTACATGCGGGGGCTGGAGAGATGGCTCAGTGGTTAAGAGCATTGCCTATACTTCCAAAGGTCCTGAGTTCAATTCCCAGCAACCACATGGTGGCACACAACCATCTGTAATGAGGTCTGGTGCCCTCTTCTGGCCTTCAGGCATACACACAGAAAGAATATTGTATACATAATAAATAAATAAATAAACATTTAAAAAAAAACTACATGCCTGTGTTCTCAGTATTCAGGAGGAAGAAGCAGGAGCATTGCAAATTGGAGGCCCGTATATGCCACACAGAAGAGCCCATTTAAAATTGTTTTAATATATACATATAAATATTTATATATCAATATATATATATATATATACACATACACACACCCGTGTGTGTGGGCACATAGGTATGTGTTGCATGTTACATGCCCATGTATGAATGCATGAAGGCCAGAGATCAACATCAGGTATTCTCATCTATCAATCTCCACCTTACTTTTTAAAGATATATTTATTTTATTTTTATGTATAAGTATTTTGCCTGTATATATGTATGATTTACCACATGACTGCCTGGTGCCTATGGACATCAGAGATGGGCATGAGACCCCCTGGAACTGGAGTAACAGATGGCTGTGAGCCAACAGGAGTTCCAAAGTTCTGCCTGTTTCAGCACTGCCCCTTCAACTTCTGTTGAGTGCTTTTTACGTGGGTTCTGGGACTCCAAACTCAGGTCCTTGTGCTTGCACCGCCCACTAAGCCATCTCCCCAGCCCTACAGAATATATTATCATATTTAATTCTCCTAAAAGTTATGGAGTGAATAAACAAAATAACTCATCACTTACTCAATTCATTTTACCACCTTTCCCCTTCCTCTCTGCCTGTTTTCCTTCTCCCTTTTAACTACTATTCCCCATTTCAAAACAGAAGATCTATTAACCTTCATCGGGAAAGGATTTTGTAGACACAGGCTGCAGATACTTATCTAACCAATCTCCCTCTAATGAGAATATCAAGTAGACATTGGCCTAAAAAATAAGTATCTTTTCCATTATGAATAGGCACTGAGCAAAGTAGGTTGTGGTTACAGTGGAAAGTTACAAGTTCTCTTACTGAAGTAACATTTCACTGAAAACAGACACAATTCACTAAAAAGGAAAAGCTTTGAAATATTTGCCTGCTCTGTTCCAACATCACTTAAGGACACCACAGCAAATATCTTCATGAAATTTGTATTGATAAATCACTATACACTAATATAATAGATAAAGTTTACATTATTCAATTTTTGTTCATTTTCTTCCTAAATTCAAAACTTCTAAATGTAACTCAGATGCAACTTCCTGAGAAAGATTCATCCCCTGTATACACAAGACCCTGTGCACTGGGTAGGACTTAGCTCAAGTATAAGAAATTACTTGTGGACCAGCAAGACGGCACAGCAGGTAAAGGCACCCGAACTTGAGTTGATCCCTATAACCACATGGTGAAAAGAGTGACAGATTGATTCATGCATGCGCATGTGCGTACACACACACACACACACACACACAATTTTAAAAAGGAGTAATTTGTTAAATTATTTCATCTTCTATAGTAGACTCATAAATTCCTGTATGAGCTAGAGTTCCATTTTATGGTCCCTGTGATACCTAACTCTCCACCCAGCAAGTTGTATAGATTCGATAAATATGGAAGAAAATTATTAGTTCCAGGTAAAAACAGAAACTTCAGCCCTAATATGCAAAATGTGGCAATTGTTTTTCAAAAAAGAAAAAGCACATAGCATATATAAAAACACATGAAAAATACTATTGTGATGCACAAAGATTTATTCTGAGTGTGATAAGGCAATGACTAATCAACCCAATTAAATCATATAGATAAGTCAGCCTTGCAAAAGATACATGTAAGCAATCATCATAACATACAATTAGAAGCAATCTGTTTTATAAGAGGAATTTGGTATCTGAAACTTTGATCAAATGAGTGGCCTATGAATCTGGATCAAGGCCTCCCATTTCTTCCCCAGATTTCACAGATTCTTTTTTAATTATCTATACTAAGGGATAGGCAGAGGTTCTGAAATAATAGAGATTCAACAGAAGGTTGGGAGTATGGCTCATTGGTACAGGATGCTCCTACAGGTAGTACAAGATGATCACCTGGCCTGAGCCTTACCATCAAAAAAATTAGAGTAAAATGTTTTATATCTTCTTTTCTCTTTCTTTCTTTTCTTTTCTTTTCAAGGTTTATTTTATTTTACATGTGTGTGAGTGTGTTTCCAGCATGGGGCATCAGGTCCCCTTGGAACTAGAGTTAGAGATGACTGCTAGCTCCCATGTGGGTGCGGGGATTGATGCAGGTCCTCTAAAGGAGTGCTCTTCACCACTGAACCATTCTTTCCAGCCCCATATCATCGGTTTGGGGTTGCTTTGTGTTTTGTTTTGTTTTGTTTTGGCTTGGTTTGGTTTATTTGTTTTATTTTTTTGACAAGAGAAAGGTTAGGTGAGCTGCTCTAAAAATTTAATTCCAAAAACCAATTTCTTTGAGTTAAGAAAACTAGTAAAACAATAAAGCATAGTGCCTAAGCCTCAGAAACCAAAATACCTGGGTTCAGGTTTGGTCCGGTCTTACCACTTCCTAACTGTATGGCGTGGGGCCTACCTCTTAACTTTATATCTCAGCTTCCTCTTCTATAAAACAGGGGTATGTGGTAATATGTACATCTATCTCGCAATACTGTAGTGCGGATTCCTGGAGATGATGTCTATAAAAGGCTTAACATAGCGCTTTGTAACAGCTATGCATCCAATAAGTGTTAACTATTATAACGACAGCTGCATAAAGGTTATAGTTAATGCCCACAGATATTCTGGTTTTATATTGGTGGCAACCCTACAACTTTTTGACAGTCAAAATAATTACATTTTCTGAAAACAAAACATTCATGATTTAACTCAGTATGAATTAGATCATCCTTAAAGAAAGAGGGTGTTAGAGTAGGGAAGAGACACCCACACTCTGGTCCTCACTTCCCCATGGAGCTTTGAGTCTTGATGTAGTCATTTACACACTTTGATCCTCATCTTTTCATCTGTAAAATGAGGATAGATACCTGCCTTGTCTACTTCCCAAAGGAACAAATGACCAATAGGCTTTTGTTGGTTGGTTGGATTGTTGGATTATAAGGTTCGTCGTTCTTGTTTTTGTTTTGAGAGGGTCTTTTTTTTATTTTTTATGGTTTATTTAACTTTATTTTATGTGCATTGGTGTGAAGGTGTCAGATCCCCCGGAACTGAGTTTTCAGACAGTTGTGAGCTGCCATGTGGGTGCTGGGAATTGAACCCGGGTCCTCTGGAAGAGCAGTCAGTGCTCTTAACCGCTGAGCCATCTCTCCAGCCCCCTTGATAGGGTCTTACTTAGCAGCCTAGGCTTTGGGCTCACAATAATCCCTCTGCTTCAGCCTTCCAAGTGCAGGAATTACAGTTAAAAGTCATCTGATCTGGCTCAAATTAACTCATAATTATTAAAGTATTTTCTTTTTTAAAATTATTTTTAGGTGTGTGGATGCTTTTCCTGAATGTATGTCTGCTGTGGGATAATGTTTTGTATACAATAAAGATCTGTCACTTGTATAGGTTTAATAAAACACTAATTGGCCAGTAGCCAGGCAGGAAATGGGGTGACCAGACGAGGGAGAATTCTGGGAGAGGAAAGGCAGAGACACAGTCACAAGCCAGATGCAGAGGAAGCAAGATGAGAATGCCTTACTGAGAAAAGGTATCAAGTCACTGGGCTAAACATAGATAAGAATTATGGGTTAACTTAAATTGTAATAGCTAACTAACAATAAGCCTGAGCTAATAGGCCAAACAGTTTATAATTAATATAGGCCTCTGTGGGTTTATTTGGGACTGAACAGTCACAGGAGTGGCTAGGACAGAAACTTCCATCAATATATATCTGTGTACCATATACGTGCATTGCCCATGGAGGCTAGAAGGCGACCTCTGGTCTCCTAGTACTGGAGTTTCAGTTTCAAGCCACTATATGGGTTCTGGGAACCGAACCCAGGTCTTCTGGAAGAGCAGTCAGTACTCTTAACCACTCAGTCATTGCCCCAGCCCATATAAAAGTATTTACAAATTATAAAGCACTACAAAGGGCTGCAAGACAACAGGTCAGTGATACGGCAGTGTCTATCATTCATGGGGCCTGGGCTCCATTCCAAGTACAAAAAAAAAAAAAAAACCACACAAAAAAGCAAACAACTAAAAAAAAAAACCAAACAAACAAAAAAGAACCATGCAAAAGTTAAAGTTATAATCGCTATAACCTAACCAAAATGAATGATAAAAGTCATCTACTTTTCTAAGTTGCTGACAGCAGATGAACCTGGGTAGTGACAGAGAAGTAGGCAGGACTAAGAGGCCTCCAGGGATTGTTCAGGTGCAGAAGATCCAGCACAGCTGGGCGGTGGTGGCACACATCTTTAATGCCAACACTCAGGAGGCAGAGGCAGGAGGATCTCTGTGAGTTCAGGGACGGCTGGTCTACAGAGTGAGTTCCAGGACAGTCAGAGTTGTCACACAAAGAAACCCTATATTGAAACCCCACCCCTCAAAAGATTCAACACACTAGACCTAGGCATGGTCTAATGGAAGTAAAAGTGCTTCTCCCATTCTACAACAGCCTGGGAGCAATATCCCACAAGACCCATCCACTCCCTTTGTTCTGATTCCATGTTCAACAAGCAATTGTTATTACTTGTTACTAACTAGGTTTCCAAGGTAGTCAGATACCAAAACAAGAGTCAGCTATACATCAGACAGGAACATATTACTCGGCAGAGAAGATCTAGGTAAAATTATCACTTAAACATCGGTGTCTTTTAAATAAGATTAACGAATATTCGTTCTCTACAGATTGAGCAGTTCTAAGAAAACTGCTAGTCCTCAGACGGGCAAAAACTAAAATCAAAGCAGAGGGTGGGTAGCTGGTATCCTGGGCAGTTCCTTACTTCACCATGTTGATTCTTTTCATGACACCGAGCTTGTACACATAGTTACATAGTCTCTGTATCAGTAAATAACTGCAACAGTTGCTTCAATTGGAAGTTACTCAGGGGAGGGAAGAGAAGAAACATTTGTTGAACATCTGTACTAGTCCTGACATACGTCTCATTTCATTCTCACGTCGGTCTTACAGCACATCTTAGCCTTGTTTTAAAGAAGAGGAAATTGAAGTGCAACGGAATTAAGTTGTGGGAAAATGGAGGCAGGGGCTGGGGGAAATACAAGTATGAAAATACTATATTAGATTTGAGTGGAACTTTGATACAGTCCTAAAGTCATAAGCATGCTTTTATGGAGGGAACACATCTGAAGCAGTTTAGCATACTATGTTGAGGTTTATCACGTATATAACATAACTAACCACTGTGACATTTTCTTTTGGACAGAGTCTATGTAGGCCAAGATGCCTTCCAACTCTTGCTAGTCTTTTCCTCAGCCTCGCAAACGCAAACGCTGAGATGGGAAGTATGCAACAATACAGCAGGTGCCAATCTGTTTATAGCCAGGGTCTCAAGGAGCCCAGGCTGACCTCAAACTCACTTAAACAAACTGAGGCTGGCCTTGAACTCCTGATCTTCCTCCTCCACCTCCCAATTGTTAGGATTATAAGCATATGCCACCGTGCCCAGCTAAGCCAATTTATTTTTAAAAGGTCTATGAAATTTGAATATGCCGGCCTTGAATTCTGTTTCAACTTCAAGCAGCAAATGAAGATATGGTTTAATTACTCAGTTACGTAAACATGTTCCAAGTAAACAAACCTGCAGTTTCCAAATTCAAAAAATAAATCTAATTTTCTATGTACTTAAAAAGCATACAGCTAAGTCCACTATATAGACAAGGGTTGAATATAAAAACTATTTCCTCACTGCCCCTAAAACTTGTCCTACTTAGCCAAGTCACTAGCAACCTGTTGGGGCTTGAGACAGGCAGGCTGCAATCGCAGAGCATTCCTGAGAGTCTGGAAAGCTTCCTAGGGTTGGGGCAGAAAAGGCGATAACCGGGGGCCACCCATACCTTCAAGGAACCACAGCTTCAAAAACACTTTCTCGCTGGATCCTCACAACCACTCCTAAGCCAGTTCAATGGTGCTGAGAGTCCTGGCTGACAATTCCCCTGTCACTCAGGGTCTAGCCCACAGCACTCTGGAACTGACAAACTGACAGACACCAAACTTCAGGGCCATGGAAAAAGAATGGACATTTCCGCTTTGGCTGCCAGGAAGGGGGTGAAGGGGTCTCTCTCTTCGTCATCTGAGAGAAAAAAAAGGGTTCGGCCCCACGCCAAGAACACCCTAGGTCCAGGTTTGGGCCAGGCCTCCTCCTGCACCAGACACACGGTCCCTTTTAAGGCCCCAACTGGCCTCACGGCGACCGCGGACAGAGCTCCGAGGTCGGGTCCGGTCCGCCCTCCCTCGGCGGACTCGGGTCAGCTCCTGAGCTCCGTCCCTCAGACCTCCTCCACAGGGGTCTAGAAGAGACCCAGTGTCTTCAGCTGGGGCGCGGTCCCCGCCCCCC